CCTCTACGTCTGCGTGCGACAGCTGTGATGACTCTTACACACTCATGTGTGTACTTTGTGCTCAAATTCGATTCTTCGGATATTATTTTCTACATTTTGGAAAGTGTTTTGTGACCTAGTGGCTTCAAAGTGTAGTGAATTCAAATTGAATCGGATTCGCTGGCATGTTCGCGAGTCTGTTGACAAAGAGACAGATTTGTGGTGATATTTCCGAAAGGATGGATCAGGACATGAGGGTGTACCTCTGGCATAAACACGGTAAGGTAATTTATTATACTTTAATAGACTACTTTAGATCAAGCAGTGTAATGGATAAGAGGGATCATGACTAAGCTAAATAACTTTTTCAATGATATTATACTTTTAGAAAAAAAATATGTTGGGCTAAACAGAACGGTTTGCAGATACTGTAATTGTGTTTTACTACCGCTAAATTTGAAACAGTACAAATTTCAAAATTATCATTTTGTTTGAATTGATAACCCAACTGTTTATTTATGTCGATGGAAGGCATTAAAATTTCTTCGGCGTTCGATGTTAATGCATCCTCCGTTACCGGATCAAGATCAGTGGCGATATCGTTGACGAAAGCTGATAATAAATTTAACACGGGAAATTATATATGTAGCAGTCTATTGCTGGATCTATTCTGACATAACATAGAATCAACGTAAACATATTTGTTTTTGCTGAATTTTTATTCGGAAAGCAGACGATGTTTGGATCTTGTTCGACTGAATATTTGTTTCCATGCTTTCGAAGTACTTTTGTATGTATAAACACCTATTGCTGTGATTTACGCAAGTAGTGAGTCGAGCCCGTCATCGCTAAATCCATCTTTAAAGACATATGTGTAATTTCCGACAGTAAAATCGCCGTAATTTATTGATGCATCGGTAGGTTGTTTGGTGTCCGCCATGTTAGTGGGCAGACAAAAATAGTGCATTACCGTAAACCATGTATGATTGCGCACGGAAAACAGAGACCTGTATAACGTGATTATATACCTCTGAATGACTTTAATTAACCAATCACAATCCAGTGTTTACTGATGTCATGGTAGAATAGTGAGTGAGTTTAGTTTTAGCAATATTCCAGCAGTATCACGGCGGGGTACACCAGAAATTGGCTTCACATATTGTACCCGTGTCGAAGAACGATATGTTTTCTGGGGACAGGTAACGGCGATTGTTCGGTCGCTTCTTCAAGAACAGCCAAACGCGACGGCAAAAGCGGTTCAACAAATTATCATTTTAACTGTATGTTTTTATTTGGTAAACATCACAGGAATAGAAGCGAAGTTGCAACATAGTATTAATGATGGCTCCAATATTTTTATCTCCAGTGGTAGTTAGCGTATGCACGTGGAGACATGGTGAGTGGGTGAGTTAGCGAGTTTAGTTTTACGCCGCTTTTAGCAGTATTCCAGCAATATCACGTAAGAGGACACCAGAAATGGGCATCACACATTGTGCCCATGTGGGGAATCGAACAGGGGTCTTCGGCGTGAAGAGCGGCTCTAATTTTCGGCGTGAAGAGCATCGGACAACGTGGGCGTATGCCAGCTTTCGTTTTCGAAGACAGGAAAATTGAAGTTAGAGTCATCAGTCATTCTTTTCTGTAGGAAAATATTTTGTATATAAAAATATTGACGGATCAATGTTTTGACGATAATTATATCCCATACAGGGGTACAAACATGAACACTGTTGACTACCCCTTACAACTTTCTCTCAACAAAATACGCAAGTGGTATCTAAAAACGGGTTGTTTTAAAAAACAACAACAGCAACATAACTTGTCAAAGAATCCAAATTCTGAGGCATTACGTTTGATAGTATATTATCCTTAAATTATGCCCCAAATTTAAAGACTTAAAAGCCAAGAAACGATTCTGCATCTACACTTACTAGATGTAACACGGGTTGGGGTGTTTTATATATACTCTTCAAAAACAAAAAGAAGAAACTTGACATGCTGTTTTGGAGTTTTCTTACTGCGTGCATATAACTGATGCAAACATGACATGATTGCTCAGTTACAGTAAAATCATCACTTTACAAATTTCCAAAACATGATTTATCCAGAAAGTGTTTGGTAAAACCACAGAGGGCTATTTAAGCCACTTGGTCAGAGTAAAATGTCAGTATTCTGTGTGACCACCATGAGCATCGATAACAGCTTGGCAGCGGTGACCCATGGAAGAAAGGAGATGCCGAATGCTGTCTTGAGGAATGTTTTGATACACTTGCTGAAGTGCTGTGCAGTTCTTGTAGTGTCTGAGGTTTGTGGATTACGCTGGTGCAAGCATCGATCAAGAGTATCCCACAGATGTTCAATGGTGGGCAAATTCGGTGATCGAGAAGGCCAAGGTAACAAATGAACATTGTTTTGCTGGAGGAAGACCTGTCAAACACGTGCAACGTGAGGTCGAGCATTGTCATGCTCCAAAGATCACGTTGATGTAGGGAACGACGTGACGTGGAACTGGTCTTCTGGCAAAATGTCTGGATTTCCATAGCCAATTGCGCACTGTCTGGTCGGAGATTCGGAGCAGTCCAGGGATTTGGACTGTTGTGGATGATGCGGCCATGGTGTTTGAACGAAAATGTCTCAACCGGATGTAGCGATCCTGGGCGGCGGTGGTAACTCCAGGTCGACCTGACATGGGTCATTAAAACTCCCAGTACTTTTGTATCGGGTCCATAGGTTTGAGATGATCTGTCTGGACACGCTGAAGTGCCTTGCCACATCATGCTGCGATATCCGTCCTTGTAAACACCGATGGCGTTGTGTCGTTGAGCTTCTGTCAGTCTTTTCATTTTCTTGTCGTCTAGTGGCTTAAAGCAATGCATGTGGAGTACCATTGATGTGGCTTTTTAAAGCCTACAGTCATACGCTTCAGCTCAGGGTGATACATAATTGCATGATGCTCGTGCATTTCATGTAGGGTGCGTTTTAGCGATTCACTACAGACGTGACTGTAACGTTTTTTCAAACGTTTTGTCTTCGGCAGCCATTCCCCCACATTCAGCATGGATTGGTTTGTGTCAAATATTTTCCTAAAATTCAAATTTGTCCTATGTCAAGTTTCTATTTTTTGTGTATTAAGCGTAACGGAAACGCAGAGGCTGCGGAACTGTTTTAAAGAACTGTTGTAAACAAAATCAGCATCATACATACATATATACATACTAATATTTGTATTGTGCCAGATCCAACTAAGCTGCTCAAAAGCGCTTTGTTTTCCCTCGGTCATAGGATGTAAATCTCAACGAGACATCGTATTTTCAATCCGAACTCACTATAACTAGGTGTTTGCACGGATCCATGTGGCCACCATATGGTTATTTACCAACAGGTTAATTAGTGGGTTCTTTAAGTGCACAGGGTTGTGTACTGTACACTCTGTGTGTGTGTGTGTGTGTGTGTGTGAGAGAGAGAGAGAGAGAGAGAGAGAGAGAGAGAGAGAGAGAGAGAGAGAGAGAGAGAGAGAGAGAGAGAGAGAGAGAGAGAGAGAGAGAGAGAGAGAGAGAGAGAGACAACACTGTAAGAGCCTGCACAAAAAGTTGATTCCAAGGTTTTTTACACCCTGCCACAGGCGAGCATCAAGTACGTGTTTTCCCCATAACTGACTATAAGCCTGTTATTAGGCAATACATTGATTATGCTGGCAGTCAAACTGGGATAAACAAACAACTACCATGCTGTATAGGATTAAAACACTGATCAATCATACCGATATATCTGTCACCGGTCGTGGAGATAATGTTTTACGTCGGTGGCGAATAGCCCAGCTACGTCAAAACGTTTTCGCAAGGTTGTGGGAAGGTGGTAGATTGGTAACGTCATGAGACAACGTTGTCACAACGTTAGTATTACGTCATTTTAGAACGTTATTTCACAACGTTACAGCAACGTTACATATATATGTTGTCAAAACGTTTTGTATAGACTACTACAGAATAACTTGGTGTCACGATAGCGTTTTCTGTAAAAATATCACTTTGAGATTCTTTCTTCACTATTCAGCTACAGCTTTAGACTACACACGACCAACATATGCAAATAGATGAATAAACATTGAAGAGGATTTCTGCTTTGTGTCTCATGTACTGTTCACTCCTGGGAAAACTAATCACCTAATAACGTTAAATAGCGTGTTAAGGCAACGTGAAATAAGTTAGCATCAAACAACTTTAACAATATAGCGGCGTGAAAATGACGTATCACAACGTCACGTCACAACGTTGTAACAACGTAAATGGGAGTCCACAGAATAACGTTGTAACAACGAAAGCATAACGTTGTGACAACGTGACATTGTTAGCTGGGAGGGCACTCGCACTTTTCTCATGCCTTCTTTTGAAGGGAGAAAATATTCGCATTAATATTATTTTACCGTGAAACACATTCTGTTAGACTGTGTGGGTATAGCTTTGAAACCTCATAAATATCTTCCTGTTTCCATAATTGAAACACTTTTATTCAACTTCATAACCTTAAGATTATAACAGTCTTGAAAGAAATACATAGTTCGGACGATATATAGTTTACATTTTAAAAAAGATACTTTTCTCCTTTTTCTGTGATATTCTGTTTTACTTTTACTTTTCCTAAAATGCACCTGTTTATATTCAATAACTCTGAGCGCGAATAGCTACAACACTGCTGATGCTGCGTAAAGAAACACGTATTCACTCATTCATTCTAGTGGATAGTCAAATCCTAAAAGGTCTTTCCCCTATAATTTAATAACCAAACTACCGAGATATGCTTCACATAACATATTATCCTGAAAAATGAAGCAATTAAAATGGACAAAGCTTATAAAGCTTCTCAACATATGTGGATCAAAATTTCTCTTATGTTATTAATATGTTTTGATGAGGTTGACGGTGCATGACGAGCTGTTGCTGCAGTAGCATATAGCTCTGAGAGAAGGTTGATAATGAACAACGAGATGGTAAATGAAAACAGTATCTGGTCACCGCCCCAAACAGCTGAGGATCGTAGTTACCTCCCTTTCTTGACGACGCCTGTTCATTCTGCTGCTTGCACTCGCTTTGACGGCCATGTCCACATTGTCTGCAAAATCCGTATTTATCACGGGTGCCAATCGGGGTTTGGGGCTGGCGTTTGTGAAGCACTTTCTGCGTCTTGAGGAACCCCCTACCTACGTGTTCGCTGCCTGCAGACAGCCCGACCAGGCCACGGAGTTGGCTCGGTTAGCGGGTGAGAATGGACGTGTCCGCGTGGTGAAGCTGGATGTCAGAGAGGATGAAGAAATCGCTGCGGCTGTGGTGGAGGTGGAGAAAGTTGTTGGTGCCGGCGGTCTCAATCTGCTGCTAAACAATGCCGGCGTTAACCAACAGGAACAAGGCCTCGAATCACTGACACGGGAGAAGATGAATTATCACTTTGACTGTAATGTTACTGGTAGGTTCAAACATTTCTTAGCGACCATGTGAAAATAATCAGTACTAGTATTCGTTCCAATGATGATTGAGCCAGACCACATACACATTCATGTGTCGTAACAATTCGAGCAACCTTATTCAAGATTAGTTTTTGATAAATTGCATCGTCCGATTGGCAGTAGGTGGTAACGGTAACACAAACATATGATATGGTATATCTTCAGAGACATTGGGTGATGAATTATACACATTATATTATTATTATGACTTTAAGGTTACTCCAGATGTTCAGTGACCCTTTCCTATAATATTTTCACCGCTTGTTTCTCATTTATACCCAGTTGAAACTGTTTGGGTGCATAGTCGAAACTGGATTTGATTGTTATCTTCCGTTGGCCTTTTATATAAGTATGAGTTCATCCATTGGTATATTTGAATGCTATACTACCCATCAAACGTTTCGACTCACTAGTGTAAATGTAGCCACTTATTCCAGTCAACTGTTCTAAACTAGATTTTGCAAAATATTCCATATTGTTTAAAGGTACTGTTTACACATTTACACAAGTTTGCAACGTTGAAAAGATTATTGCCATGAGGTCAATAAATGATGAAACTCAGTGAAAATTGGCGAATTCGTAACCAAACGTTACGCCAAAACGCAGCTGTTCACATGCACGATATTTGCAGATGCTTTTTATTTCAGCAATTTGATGCATGATCCTCGTGCAATTCATCTGCATAAGGTTTGCAGTTGGTTCCCCCAAGTTGGTGGAGAAATTCATCTTCGATGTAACCATATATATATACATCACATATAGTGAGTGCTGTCAGCTAGTCTAAACCTTTGATGGGTAGTATATAGCCGATGACCTCATTACCCTGAGACGCTATCACAGGACATTGACTTAGGTATGCCTCAGCACGTATTCATAATCTATTAAACAAGGTCTCAAGTTATATAGAAACGTTCCAGAAGTAGTATAGGTCAATGTTTGAAACACCTCAGTCATGAAATGTAGGACATGTCTCTGCATTAGATCATGGGTAAATAAATTAACTGCATTTAGCTGTAAATAATCATGAGTAAATAACTGACTGACTGAGTTTGGTTTTAGCAATATTCAAGCAACATCACGGCGGGGGACACAAGAAATGGGCTTCACACATTGTACCTATGTGGGGATTCGGACCCGGGTCTTCGGCGTGACGAGCCAACGCTTTAACCACTAGGCTACCCCACCGCCCTCATGAGTAAATAAACTGACTGGATCTAGCTAGTCGCTGTCGTCACACCTGGTCCTGCTGGTGGGGTAGCCCACTGGCTACTTATATAAGGAGTGTGCTTGTCATGCCAATGTGTGACACCCATTTCGGATGTCGCAGTCGTGATATTGCTGGAATATTGCTAAATGTTACCCAAAACCTCAGGTATCCACATACTCTTTATGTCTCGTCCTTAAATGTTATACCCGTGAAGATCCGGGTTGGAATTGATCTTCAGTAACCCATGCTTTCGTAAGAGGCGAATAACGAGATCGAGTGGTCAGGTTCGCTGACTCATGTCATCGAATCCCGACTGCGTAGATCGATGCTCATGCTATTGATCACTGGATTGTCTGGTCCAGACTCGATTATTTACGGACCGACTCCATATAGCTGGAAGACTGCTGAGTGCGGCGAAAACTAAACTCACTCACTCGTTCCTTAAATGTTTTATAACTACATTTAAGCTTGGTAACATTCCACAGTTAACGTATTCACGTCATCCACCCATACCATGTGATAATGACTTGTTTAGTAGTAATCGATGCAAGTACTGCCAAAGTGTTTAAATGACAATAATATTGACATTATTGACAAACTGGACTTCGGATATTCGCGAAACATCGTTCATTACAGGATTCTCACATGTATGGATCGCACAGGATGTCGTTGATGTAAATAATTTCTTATAAAGTTTAAAACAGCGCCTCAAAGATATGTCACTCCAAAATTGACATTATGAGATAAACAGAGGCCCACTAGCCATTCAGGCAATTTTCATTTCACAAAACAGTAATGTACAGCGCTCCAAACTTGGCATTATGAGATAAACAGATCAAGATACCTTACCCACTACGCAAGAAAGATAATCATACATCACGAACAGGAACATACAACTAATAAGAGTTTACTTCAAATTTAGGGCATCGGTGACTAACTATACTCTCCCAAAAAGAAACATATATAGAATTTCAACTGTATTTTTATGTTTATTTTGAAACATCTTGTAGGCTTTATGAGTCAATGAAATATAGCGAAATTGCACACTGGGAATGCAGACTTATCCGTCTTTGGCACCAACTCGAGGAAAGTCAGTTTGAGTGTCACATGGAGACGTGTGGTGGCGCTGAAGTCAATACCTCGTGTGACCACCGTGGGCATCAGAACTGCACGGCATCGCCTCGGCATCGAACGAATAAGTCTCAGAATCTCGTGTTGCCCAATCGCAGCCCACTCTGCCTGTAGTGCCTGTGCGAGTTGCTGAAGTGTCTGGGGCTGAGGGTTACGGCGTCGCACCCGTCTGTCCAGGGCATCCCACAGATGTTCGATCGGGTTTAAGTCCGGTGATCTTGAGGGGCCAGGGGAGCACATTGATGTTGTGGTTCTGGAGGAAGTCTCTAGTGTGACGTGCTGTGTGGGGCCTGGCATTGTCCTGTTGAAACAACTCCCTCTGGCGATCAATGATTGGAAGGAGGTGTGGGCGTAGGATTTCGTCACGGTACCGTTGAGCTGTCAGGTTGCCCTGGATCATCACCAAATCACTTCTCCTACGGCAGGTGATCGCTCCCCACATCATAACACTGACCCGGCCGAATCTGTCCACCTGGGGAACGCAAGCGTCGGCGAAACGTTCACGTCGACGTCTGTACACCCGCATTCTTCCATCGCGTCGTTCCAATAGAAATCGTGATTCATCACTGAACCAGATTCTACGCCAATTCGGTAGGTTCCAGGCCTGAACGTTGGTGCACCATTGAACTCGATGTCGACGATGTTGTTGTCGAAGCACAGGGCCAAAATAAGGTCTTCTGGCACGTAAACCAGCCTCTCTCAACCTGTTCCTGACGGTCTGTGCAGAAAGCCTCCTCAATCCGGGTATTTGTCAGGCGGTACTGGTCGCCGTAGCTGTTCGATGACGCAGGTGATGTACCCGGATGTAGCGATCCTGCGCCGCAGTGGTCGCTCGAGGTCGCCCACTACGAGGGGCATCTGCTACCGCATTCTGCCGGCGATATCTCTCCCAGAGCCGTGAAATGGTGCTTTGGTGAACATTCATGCGTCGGGCAACTGCACGTTGAGACTGGCCAGCTTCAAACAAACCAATGGCGATATGACGGTTGGCTTCACTTAGACGTGGCATTTTGCGTTCGTCAACAATATTCCAAATACAGTGAATAATCGACAGACAGCGATCAACCCTTTTATACCCATCATTGGGACTATCTGATCCCCAACTTTCACGTGCATTGCATGTGAATTGTGTATTCTGTGACACTACACGCCGAAATTGAAAATCATGCTGTTAAATACGGGTATTTTACGGATGGTGCGTTTTGTTGTGATGTTTCAAAACATAAACACCATAGGACTCATAAACAGAGCAAAACCTTTTGTAAAATGAATCACGTTTTAATTCATTGCTACATGAAATTGCTATTTTCATGATGCGTTTCTATTTTGGGAGAGTATCTATTTTGAATGATTTAATATGTGACGTTTTGGAGGAATTAAGTGACCTCAAATGCACCAATATTTTGAGAGAAGCACGAGTTATGAATGGCAACTTCTTGTTGTGAAGGATCAAGCATACACTCCGAAACGTGGCGTTATGCACAATAAAGAAGTTGACATCCATAAATCTTCATTTTCGTAAGCATTCCACTTCTAAACGCCTTTCTAAGATTTGACAAATCTTTATTTGGACCTATTAGTAGAGCCTCTGGCTCTGAGAGACCATTTCACATTATTTTATTATTTTTGTTTGTTTCATAATGGGACATATGTCATCAGGCCAAAGTCTTATACATTTTGTAGGACTGTATAATGACATTCTAGTCAAGGATCTTAGTTACTGGAGGTCATATGCGATTTCAAGCTCAAGTAGTTCACCTAAATCATGTTTTCTTTCATTTTGCAATAGTTCATCTTAACAAATGTTTATGTTGGAGTTGATTATGAATGAATCACTGACATACAGTAACAATAATTACATACTGCATGGAAGTGCACACTGACCATGAAAATCATGTTATACTATTACCTTTATCATTATGTTCGCAAAACTTTGTTGCAATACAGTACTTCAGTTAAACATGCTACACTAAGGATCCATATTTCTTTCTTTATCTGTAAACCATTGACATAAAGCCATACACTATGGGGGCGGGTAGCCTGAAAGTATGGTGTAACAGCAACTAAGAAGATGATGTCGCACACAGAGAGCTATTGTGAATTTATGATGTACGCACTTGGAGAGAAACATTCCAGTCAATATATCACAATATGCATTGCAATATATCTTAATTTATTGCAATATATCGCGATATGAGAATAAGGGCAATATCCAGCCCAACAAATTTTCATTTTAACAAAACAGTAATGTACAGCACCCAACAGTTCCCTATCTCAATCAAACATTTATAATAAGATTTATATGAAACTCAAATGTTTATGATCATGTGTAATTTATATTGAGAGAGAGAGAGAGAGAGAGAGAGAGAGAGAGAGAGAGAGAGAGAGTCTTTATTTCCTCCAGTAGTTACCGAAGATTACAAACAAAAACATCATATCATTACAGCACGTACATGAATATCACCAATTGGATATTTAGACACATATGTACAGAAATTTATGAGATGAAGAGAATCAGTGTGCATAACAGTTCACAAGGTGAGGTTTCAGGTCATTTACATACAAAGAAAAGCGTAACAGTATGGTTTCCCATAGTGTTGAATCTATAGAGTTATAAAAGTC